GGGGGGGGGGGGGATGTGTGTTGTTGGAAAATTATTTATAAAATTTTAGTGGCAATCTTAGAATTTTTTAGTAATGAATTAATGAATTTTTTAATTCTTAAAGATTTATGGAGGTTCATTATGAGATTTTTATGGATGATGTTACTGATACATCTGTTGATTTTTGGTGTGCAATTTTCAGGTCGATATGGCAATGAAAATTTATTTTTGAATGATTTTATTCTGAAGAGAATTGAAATGCAGAATATTGAAAATTTAAATGCAGCTGTTCGGTACTTGAATTTTTGATTCATTCTATTCATTTTAGCATGGAACTGAAAGTGAAGTATATAGAAAATACAAGTAGTATTTTTTTTGTTTATTCGGGGAGGGCCTGAAGGAAGTGCACTGTTGGAAAATTATTTATAAAAAGTTTGTGGCATTCTTAGAATTTTTTAATAATGAATTACTGAATTTTTGAACTCATGAAAATTCATGGATGTTTATTATGAAATTTTTAGTAGAAATGTGGGCATTTTTTGACAAATTATTCATATGAGATTTTTGTAGATGATTTTGCAGATGAATCAGTTATTTTCTGAAATGTTTAAGGGAGTTGCCATTTTCAGGCCGATATGGAAATGGAAATTTATCCATGAATGATTTTACTTTCAATGGAATTCAAATTCAGGACATTGAAAATTTAAATGTAGCTATTGGGCACTTAAATTAAAAAGAAAATCTAACGGAGGGAGTGAAATTAATTATTTTCGAATTGAATATCTCCAAAGTGGAATAGTGAAACTCAAATTTTCTCTCATTTTCAAGATATTCAAGTTGTGAACTAAAAGAAGATCAATTTGAATCATCATTTTTTTTCTAATTTTGACTTTTGATAATTACAGAATATTTTTAAAATGAGTGCGCACTAGTAAATTTCATGATTTGTAATTTTTCAAATTCCAGCAATTTAATTCCACATTTAACGACAGACGTAAAATTAATCGATTTCGATTATTTTCGTCATCCAATTGTAGTCAAACTGAAAAGTTCTTTCCACCCTAAAATATTTTTCCAACTTTCAAAATTTCCTGAATTCATTGAAGGAATACCTAGAAGACATTGAAAATAGCAGGCTCATTGTATCCCTCCCGCCCTCCAAAAATCAAACAAGACTTTCCCCAACTGCTGAATCCCAGAAATGACTACATTCATCATCAAACGTCGAGTCGCCTTATGCAGCTGATAAACCTCCCCGCAAAAAAGTCTTCTGACCTTTCACCCTCCCCCGCGATAACCCGCTAGCCCCATATTAACCACAGCAATTCACCAACCAACTCCCCACATCCCTCCCCCTTCAGCGCCAACTGACCCACTCACTCCTGTTCCAGACACATCAGAAAGCGCCGAGGACATAATCCGCAACCGTTTCGTCCAGATGCGCCTGGAGATCGAGGCCTTCAGCTCGATAAAATACGTTGGGATCCAGACGAACACCCCGCCAACAGACTTCTCCCCTCTGCGCCACGCAGTCAAAAGCGAACTGGACAACACGACCGTCAGATCCGCTCGAAAGCCCCATCTGGTCTACGGGACGCTGAAGCTCCTGAACGACAAATTCTCTGGGGAAATCGAGAATCCCTCCACCATTCTGTTCCCCGATCAGTACTTCACCTGTCCCGTCAAGTGCCTCAGCTGCGACTGCAGATGCAGAAACAGCATGGGCCACCTCAAGGAGGGAAAGCCCCACCTGAGCAACACTAGGTGTCGGTACCAGCACCAGTACGAGAACCTCGTCTACATCTGCAAGAAGTGTCACGCGAATGGCAACGAAGTGATCGTAACAAGCAGAACGAAAACAACGAATGAGAACGGATGGTACGGCCTCGCCAAGTACGCGTGGTCTGGCTACGTGATCGAGTGCCCAAAGTGCGGGGAAATTTACCGAAGCAGACAGTACTGGTACGGCAACAAAAATCCTGAAGAAGCTGCTGTGAGAACGGAGATAACTCACGTGTGGAACGTCACAAGTGTCGCCAATCTCAATCAGAATGCAGCGCAAAAAGTGATTGACGGGGTCTCCTACATCACCGAAGCTGTCGCCAATGCCTCACTTCAACCCACCAAAGCCATCACTGCGTGGGTGGCCGATCAGGTCGCCCCGAGCTACTGGAGACCCAACAATGAGATCAAACACTGCCACAAGTGCAGGGTGGTGTTCTCCCCCTGCGATACCAAGCATCACTGTCGAGCCTGCGGCGAGGGCTTCTGCGCTCAGTGCTCCAGCAGGGTCAAGGCTGTTCCTGCCAGGCACTGGTTCACCCCGGTTAGGGTGTGCGACGAGTGCTATGAGAAGGATGATAATTCTAATGAGGGAGAGGAGCTGGGGGTCAATGAGGATGTCAGTGTCAGGAAGGTCTCCGAGCATGTCGTCTCCACGCTCAGTGCTGTGGGAACTGTCTTAACTTATTCGAAGTGTAAGAGGGTATTTTTGGGTGTTTTGGTTTTGCGATTTCCTGGGAATTTTTCAAAAATCACGTTCTGTTGATTTTTTATTTTTTTTTCATTTAGGTGAAATTCACCATTTCCGTTGAGTTTCGAGTAATTTGATTTGAAAATCAATGGAAATTGTGAAATTGAAAATTAAAAAAATTAAAAATCATATGGTTCATTGATTTTATTATAATTTGATTTTTAAAATATTGGAGATTTGGAGACAATTGTTGAGAATTTTTGAAAATTGATTTTTTGTGTGTTTTTTTCCAATTCAAGTGAAATCCACTGTTTTCATAGATATTCTCGTAATTTGATTAGAAAATCAATGGAAATGGTAGAATTGAGAATGAAAAAAAATGAAAAAATCATGGAGTTCATTAACTTGATCATAAGTTGATAAACAAAAACATTGAAAATTGGGAACTTTGATTCAATAATGCAGGCAAAATTCGAAAAAATAAGTAAATTTAATTTAATGCATTCATGAATTCTAAACTGATTAAAAATGTCGCTCATTTAGGTATGGAATATTCATATTCAATTGTAATTCCGCCAAAATTGTGAAACTTCTATTTTGTTTCTACTAAAACGTAGTTAAATTTACCTAAACGTAGTTAATTCTACCTAGAAGTCGAAATTTTATAAGTCTATTCCCTAAAACCCGTATTCAGTGGCACCTTTTTGAAAATTATCACCAGATTCTCCATGGAATTGCTATTTGTCTAACGGTTTAGGTCTATCCAAAAATATCAGAAGCTGTTTTGTGAAGAATTCCATTAACTTCAAAGGAAGACTTAAACATATCTTAATAAATCTAATACCTTGGGAGATTAAAAAATTGAAAAAAAAATTCTAGTCTACCAATGTTGAATAGATAAAAGTCAAAATATCTTTGAAACTACTAGGCTCACAAGAAAACTTCGAATACCTTTTTCCACCCACAGAATTCCCCCCAAAAAATCCTTTCAAATTAAAAAAAAAGTGTGAATATCTTAAAATCTATCAAATTTACAAAAAATATAAGAAAACTTTCTTTTATAACTCATGAAATTCCCATATGAAAATTCTTTTGACATTACTGAAAAAATAAACACTCCCTCGGATGAATTAATATGAATACTCATTCAAATAAGTAACACAAATAATGAATTATTTATAATAATGAATTAAATAATGAAATTCGTTTCAGCCCTAATTAAAGACACCGTCAGGCCAAACTACTGGGTACCAGACTCCGAACTAACGAATTGTTGTGTCTGTGAGAATCAATTCTCCGACGTGCTACCCCTCCACCACTGCAGAGACTGTGGACGTGGTGTCTGTCAGGATTGCTCCCAACACCGTAAACCAGTGCCACGTCGAGGATGGGACAATCCAGTTCGCGTTTGCGACGCGTGCATTAAAATTGACTGAAGTGATTGAAATTGGCATCTCCCACAGCCACTCTCCCTAGATTTTAGTCGGTTATCGATACAGAGATATATCCGTAGGACATAAGCACTGTAAATTGTCTTGTGTACAGAGGTTCAACATTTAACGATCAATTCATCCTAAATTCCCACCACTGACTGATGAAGGACGAATTGGGCATTGAGGGGCAGTGCCATATCGTCATTTATTTTTATACCCCAGTAGATTAAATACTTCTATCACAAGTTAATGCAATTGATACGAATGAAGTACTAAAATGAGATGAATTAATGTTTCATCCCAATAAGTTTTTGGGCAAGAGATCCTATTAACATTGTTTTTCTCTTTTTAATTCTGAGATAATCATCAGGAGTTGAAATATTCATTTTGTTTTACACCTCCGTTGAGGCGTTGAAACCCAGAAATAAATTGAATTTATACAAGAGAGATGAAGGCGAATGAACCACCAATTTACAATGAATCGTAAACCGCAATTAGACTAATTAACAGTAATACGAAATAACGGGCTGTGAATGGATAATCGAACGCGCATTTTTGTTACGAGAAGATAATGAAGACGAAATAAGAAACAACTGTCAGCATTCCTATGTACGAATTTGTGTTTTGTTCCTTTCTAATGGTTTATCAATAAATTCGAAATTTAAACAACTTCTTCGTATATTTTATTGCCCTGTAACAGTCTGAGGATTTAAAAAATTGAAATAATCCCTTCCACTTAACAATTTCCAAATGATTAAAGTTAGTTTGGATCTAACATTTTTGAATTCGCTGACCTCGATGTTGTATAGCTACATTTTATTAATTTTCTTTCTACAACATTTACTGAGTAAATGAATGAATAAATAATTAAAATGAAACATTATAATGAGATCTCCAACGAAATTTTTGTCAGATTTCATTTTGCTATATAAAAAAATTCTGATGAAAATATGTTTATCGCCCCGAGTCTCAAAAATAATCATCAAAAACTAAATATAAGGAACAAACATAAGGTTTTGCATTTCTTTTCTTCCAAGATGAATAAAATTTGAAAAATAGAGTAGTTTAAAAAATAGGCTCTTAAAGAAATCCAAAAAACCCCTTGAATTGTCCCCTACCTCCTACACTCCCAACTCCCCACGCCATCAAATCCCCTCAACAAAAAAAAAAGTAAACCCCCAATCACCTCCGAATCACGGCAATGACATTGCGATTTTGATGAAAACCCCAGTGGCCTCGATTCCCCCGTCGTCCAATTCAAATAATTCCCCGCGTCGTGCCCGACTATCCAAACTCTCCCACTGGCTCCCCCCCATTACCTCTGCAACTCCAACGGCCCATCACCAGCGCAACACCCCCTCCCCTCAAATCACCGGACCAATCGCAATCCCAAACGTTGGGGGTGGGCCCAGATCTCATAAACATCTAATGAACAGAAAAAAGAAGATGCACAGATAATAACGAAGAATCTGGCATTCGATCTCTGCAATAAACACAGTATACACCGCACAGGGGAAACTCAATCACCCGAACTGAGACAACCGCCTTGTAAAAACAGACTGAAAAACCTTCCGCGCAAATTAAAAAAAAAAAAAATAGGGTGGTTATTGAAATGTAGTTCAGGTGATTAAACTTCTCCAATAACCAGGTGACTAACGAAGGCTTAAAACCCCCTCAACCCGCGAAATAAACCCGAAATGATGTCCAAATTACCGCAATGACATTGCGTGTTCGCCTAAACTCCCAGTGTCCTCGATTCCCGAATCATCCAGTTCAAATAATTCCGCGCGTCGCGCCTTGACAATGAAAGCTCTCCCACTGGCTGTCCCCCGTCATCTTCTCAAATCCAATTACCAATCACTACCCCAGCACCCCCACCTCTCGAATCCCCGGACCAACCACAATCCCAAGCCGTGTTATTTCCTGACGACAACATACGAAAGCTCATAATAACATTCCCATCGAAATTTTCTTTGGATCTCATTTCACTGTATAAAAAATCCTCATAAAAATATATTTATTTCTCTTTTTTTTTTAATGATATATTTATTTCTCTTGGACTCAAAAATAATCATCGATAATAACAATAACGAACAAACTCAAGAGATTAATGAATTGGTCCATTCACCAAAAAAATCCATCAACCCTCTTAAATTACCCCACTCTTCCCAAGCGAAAAACAATTAATTCCCCAATTCACATTGAACTCCCCAGATATTTTTTTCAATAATTTGTTTTGCTCCTTCTGGTGAGAACCTGGTGGAACCATTTAGTTGCTGTTAACGAAGTTTCTTAACTATTACCACGATTCATTAACTAATGAAAACAAAAATTATTGGACGAATAATATTCTTGGAACCTTCACCAATCCAATCCCTTTTCCTGTCTCTTCATAATGCCCATTTTCTACGACAAAATCGTAATTGAAAAGCTCCTCCGATACTCAGGTGCCTAACGCAGGGTTAACCCTAGTTGGTCACCATATGAAAACTTGCGACTTGGTCACCTCCGCAGGGAATCGCCGCCGTGTTATTTAGGCCCGAGCGTTGCCGAATTCACTCTATACTGCCCGGGCGCGTTTAGCGAGACTTCGGCAACGTCGCACAACGGGCAATTTCATTTAACATGGGAAAAAATTGCCCGTCTGTTAGAAATAATGTTTTTTCTTCAGGAATTGTGGATATAAATAATTTTAAAAAATATAATTTTCTAGGCACTTGAATTGACGCATTCCAATTTTTGAGGATTTTTACGTTCAGCCAATGCTAAGAAAAAAAATCGGCCTTCTGCGGCGTTTCCTCATATGGCGACCAAACTAGGGTTAAAATCCCGCAACCCGCAATCCTGTCCAAATTACCGCAATGACATTGCGTTTTCCCCTAAACCTTAGTGCCCTCGATTCCCGAATCCCCCAATTCAAATAATTCCCCGCGTCGCGCGACGCCTATGCAAGCTCTCCCACTGGCTCTTCCCCATCACCACCCCCCCTCGGCCATCCAATCAGCACCGCAGCACCCCCACCCCTAAAATCCCCGAACCAACCACAAGCCCAAACCGTGTTATACGCTGACGTCACAACATGGCGTCCCGATCAGCTGGGTGTTGTGTAGAGTGTGCTTGCAATGCTCTCCGTGAAAATCGCTAAGGACATCGTCTGTCTCGCCCGTTAACACGTAAGTGGCATAGTTGATCGTGCATTAGTGATACGTAATAATGTACCATCCCCCCAATATGTGTCAAGTGTTGAAAAAACCAGCGCAAACATGGCTAAACCATCAACAATTTGTTTTAAATTCCGATACTCCAAACGTGTGAATAAAACGCGATTCCCTGTGGCCCAGTTGAAAAATTCTCACCCCTCATAAACGTCTAATTACCCCCGACGACTCCCCCGCCCCCGTGTCCCCCAATTACCGAGCAACAAATCGTGGTAATAATGGTGATTGAATCCGGGTCGACATGTAAATAAGTGGGACAATACGAATTCCCGAAAATATGGTTATCCCTATTGATACAGTAACCTCGTGATCCCCGTCCCCCAGCTCCCCTTTTTCCGAGGATTAAATCATCCTCCTGATGATCCCCCAATCATCCCAACGTCGGCCTGACCCACGTCGAAAGCGTCTTTAAAAAAAAAGCCCGTGTGCAAGTGGATGCCGTGGCCATTTTCATGCTTACTCGAGTTTCGTAATCATTATCAACTCCATATTTGAATTCAACAAGTAACCCGACTTACTCCTGTGTCCTCCCGATGATTTATCACTTTTCGAAATCATCATCGATTTTTATCCAGCCATTTCCCCGGGGATCGCTCCGTTATCTTCGATAAGACCGTCAATTTCGAGGAATGAAAACAAATGGTATTGCTCCAGAATGTTTAACATTCCTCACTCCCTCGGCTAATTATAATTAGAAATCCTCGAAACTCGGGTTGATCCTCGAATAATCAGCGTCATTCGATCCCCCAAAACCCCCGAAAAACGTGAGAAAATCATTCAAAATTTAAAGAGCGCAGTCGTATGCACATTTTCGTGTTTTATCCGGAGTGTGTGGACGCTGAAAAATTCCTACGCCATCTTTCGTCGTCCGTAAGACGTACATTAATCGGTGCAACGTGGTTATACTCGATCGAGTGCAACAATGGCTGGGGGTGTCATCAAAAAAAGCCCCCGAATCCCGAGAAAAAAACATTCGAAACAGCATCGAATGTCCCATAAATTCCATAAATTCCGCAGATTAACCATCGACACAATTAAATGAGTGCATCGTAGCCATTTTGTATCCGTCGAGAGGATAAACAAATGACGCAATTGGTGCACCGGGTACGAGACTGCAATAATCAGGTGTTATTTGAATCGAAAATGCGCATTCATTTCAATTTGATCGCGAAATGCACTCGATTCTCTTTCGAACTTTGGATTATCCTTTTCCGAGATTCTCGTCGGCTTTTGTTGAGGCATGATAATTCATATTCACAGTCGTCTCTCGCACACACATCCCGCGATACAGGGGGGGGGGGAAGTGTGTTGCTAAGGCACCTCGTGAGCCGGTTGGTGGTGCAGTTGCTTGGCAACAGCATCTCTCCATGGCCGCGAATACGATTTCTCGGAGCGTGAGCGACGCTAGCGTTGACGCCTCCCCATGCATCGTTTAACAAATTAGAGAAAATGTTGATAGAGGTGATGAGGAGTACCTCAAACTGTCATTTCCGCAATGAAAAGATT